CGGCCATAGTGGGGGACAGTGGGGTGTGAGAAATATGGCTTTTATATGGTGACTTTTTTTGGTGGTTTAAAGGTCAAAGTAATCACAAATATCCCTTGGCTTTTTGTGGTTGTTTATTCAGCCCTAGTAGGGAACATAAAGGGGACAAGAATGGGGAATATCTTGGTAGATGTTGTGTTGGGATAATGAGGGATATTTGGCCTGGGATTTATAGAAAAGGATAGAAGGTTTTATTTGTTTATTAAAAGGTTTAAAAGAAAGAAAATAACAACAAACAAAGGTTGTGGTTTACACACTCTTATTTTCGGCCAGGGCCTAAAATAGGAGTAGGAAAACTTTATTTTGAAAAGGAAATATTTTGGATGTTTAGGGAAGGTATGCAGAGTGTGGGCTCAGCCTAGGGTGGGTGTAGGACAACCACGGTGTTGGGTTGGGTTCTAAGACAGGAAAATGGAGAAGTTTCAACCCAATTAATGTCACCACACTTGGGCTTTATTCCCCTGATCTGTCTTTCCCTTGGCGGGCTACGGAGAGTCTTCGGGCATGCTCCCGGATATATATCAAAAGGGGGAAAGGAAAAGAGAAAAAAATGTAATGTGCAAAAATTAATAAAAAGGTCCTCACTTAAGTCAAGAGGTAAAAACCACCGAGACAAGTGATACCTTAGTTAGAGCCTGTTCTTTAGGACTGTAAAAAAAGAGCTGAATGTTGGAAGAAACTGGAAAAAACTGGAAGAAACTGGAAAAAACTAGAAGAAGTTGGAAGTAACTGGAAGAAACTAGAAGGAAGTGGAAAAAACTGGAAGGAATTGGAAGAAACTGGTAAAACTTCAAAAAATTAAAAAACCTAAAAAACTTTAAAAATATTTACTTTAAATTCTTGTTGTTATAAATTATTATTATTATTATTATTATTATTATTATTATCATCATCATCATCATCATCATCATCATCATCATCATCATCATCATAATCATCACCACGTTATCTTAGTCAATTTCTTTAAGATATAAAAAAAGTAATATTATTTTTTAAATACAAAAAACTATTTTTGCAAAAAATAATTATAATACTCCATATAAAGTTAGCATAAATATAAAAATAATAAATTTTAAGAAGTCTTTGTAGTTATATTGCACCTCAATTTATTTATGCAGTATTTATTATAAATAATATATTTGTAATTATAATTTATATATTAAAACATTTTGTTTTAAATATCATACATGTCACATAATCAAACCTATTGTTTCTTTTATGATTGACATTTTATTTTCATTGAATTCCTATTTTTGGTAACCAACAAGTCTTTGATTTGTAAATCAACCTTAAGTTTTTGTTCTTATTTTGTACAAGAAAGTTGAAACCAATAGCTAGCAGCAATGCATTTTGGGAACAAAGAACAACCTGTGCTGAATTCAATTGCAATTAAACAACTAAAGGGAAAGAAAATGCTTCCATGATGAAAAAGCTACATGAAAACCTCCCAAAAGACCTGTCATTTTTGGAATCACAAAACACAGAGACACATGTCCCTAAAGTAGCTGTTATGCCTATACTACATTGATGATTATCTCTACTGCATGTCTTCTATCTACAGTCAATCGCGGGATGAGATTTTCTGTTCCAAAACCTCGTGTATGTATTAGTTTCTTCACCTCAGAAATGTGTTATTGTAATAAGTTGGTGCATGGGATTCGGGCAGGGATGCCAATGGGGAACGGAATGGCAGGAGAATGGGAGCAATTGTTGTTCAATGGGCTATTCCTTATTACTCCATCCCCAACCTCAGCATTCACACACAACTCTTCACTTGGTCCTCCTAGCTCCAAAAGTTGAAGAAGGGATGAGAATATCTGGTGTCTTGTTACAATCTGGTTCTGCCAAGTGCCAACATGTCTCAATAAGATATATGTCTAAACAATGTTTTAAAAATATTATAAAAACATAGACTTTTAGGTAAAGTTATATGTTACCTCAGCCTCAACAACAAAGTGTGCCCATATCTTATTACACGCACGGCGTTCCATGGATCCCTCCACTATATTCAACCCAAAACCTCGCACTACTTCTACAATCTCCAAGAAGAAGCCTTGTTCTTGACATAGGATCTGAATCACCAAGTTTATTAGATCAAAACCATTTCATATGAGAAGCTAAGTGAGAACTATTTATTTGAAAAAAAAGATTATATTTAGGACTTTACCTCTATAAGCATTTGGCCAGGAGTACAAAGCTCCTCAACTTTTAAAGGACAAACCATCGTTTGGTTCTCAATTTCACACGCCCATGTTACTCCGCTGCCATTACTGTTGAAGCCGGTCTCTTTCAGACCCTTTTTCTCCTGTTAGCCAATAGAAATGAAAGTTCACACTTTCTTATTACTGCCTTAGAATAGATAGAATATTGTGTCTTATATATATAGTTGTGGCTTGTGGGAATTTACATTGGCTTTTCTGAGTCCTTCAGCACGACGCGTGACACTTTGCAAGAACAGCAAATGTTTTATAGTTTGATTCAACAGACGATCAATACTCATCTGCAATACAATTTGGTTTTAAGGCAAAAGACTTGAAATTAGGGAGTGTGATGAAAACAACGAGACATATAGACAGACGATACCTTTTCACCATTAGGAACGAGGGTTCTCAACTCTGCTAGGCGTTCATAGGTCCTCACACGATCTTTTGGGACAGGTCGAGTCCCTCGTTTAGCCTTCTTCTTGATTGGTTTTGTAGGGCTCTCCTGGTTCTTAGATGATACTAAAGGACTTCCACTTCTCGTCCTCCTTTTGCTTTCTGCAAATAACTGATCATTGCAACTATAGCTCCCAAAGGAGCTTCTGCGACTGTCATTCAAGAACTGGTCTAGGCCTAATTTAGAGAACAAACTATTTGATGCCCAGTTTTCAGAACCAATTGAGTGCTGTGATGTGCAGCTAAACACTTCATTATCAACAGATAATGCATTCAAGTTCTTCTCTGTCTGACAAAAGGAGTTGCAGACATTTAGAAGATCAGTCTGCTCACTCAGATGGGGAGCTAAAATGACACTTGTGGCACATGACATGTCATCACTGCTCTCGTCGACCGCTCTGTAATTGGACGGGCCCACTGCGGGGGGAGAAAATGGCAGTGGAATATCACACACCAGAGAAGCTTCTGCACTATATTTTTGAAACTGGCAATCGAATTCCAAAAGATCAGCGAAGTCGGGACATGGAAGAGACTCTAGAGGGTCTAAAGTTTCTCCATTCTCTGATGATGAAAGTGAGATTTCAGGTAAAAATGACTCCACATCCATATCCTGGAAGAGCTTTTTCGTTTCGAATATAAACTCCATCCTCTCCGGAAGCTGAAGGAAGAAATGGACAATGGGCGCGTTGTTAATGAAATGATCAAGTGACTCGTCTTCATTAAGAGTTATAGCATAATAAATAGAAGAAGATGCAAACCTTCTCCATAGATCCAAATTGTATCACCCCAAACGGTTCAACAGATACAACTGCAATTGTCTGAAAAACTAATTCTGGTTAGTACATTGTAGGAAACACTTAATTAAATAAACATGTAGTAAAGCAAAATAATACCTTAATCCCACAAGAAAATTTCCCAGAGAATTCAGAATCCTCCTGTAGAATCAGATTCCAAAAATAAAGCATAAAACCAAATCAATGCGGAATAAATGAAATACTACGTAATATATATATGCTTACTTAATTCCATATAATACGGAGTAATAATTATTGCAAAATCCCAAATCATTAACTGCTTTGTTGCATAGAGCAAATCCTTTTAATTACCTGTAGCAACTCATAAATATCAGCCAAACCATGGCGGCTCTCCCAAGCAGAATTAGGGTCTGAAGTCACCCATTTGTGTTTCTTGGTAAAAGCAACTTGACCAACCAACCTGTCAAAATTTGAAGTTCACAATATTATTCTCTGAAGCCATTTTCTTTATAACAATTAAAAAAATCCATTTAAGAAAAACTGTAATTTTTGTATTTAAAACAAGATTCTGCAAGATTGAAAAAATACTGAACATACCCACTTCCTAGAATATGAACTTGTAGACGCATATCATCAATGAGCCCACCTATCTGTTCATCATAGTATGCATCCCTCAGTGTCAGCAATCTGGGAAAACGAAATTGAAAATGAAACCCAAGTTTTTATTTTAAATGTTTATGCTTTGTGATTAAGATTCGAGCAGTTCTATTACAAAAATTAAGTACAAGAATTTATGTCTGATTCCAAGAAATGAATAAAGGCCAGAGAAAGATAAATCGAACACAAGGGATCAAATAAAACCAAATGCTCTGCAATGATCCCAGAAATTCTCTATCATCTTTGGAAAAATTATGTATATGAAATAATGTTCCTTAATGAGTAAGTAATTTTGCAAAGAAACTGAAGAGCTTACAATGGATTTTGCAGGTTGAAACCCCAGAAAACTGCATACGACCATCCATTGGCATAGCAAAGGTTCTTTAACATTGCTTTTGTGACTGTTTCAGACTTCGCTTTACTCATTCTGTAGAAATTCCGGCGGGCCGAGAACAAAGACAGAGTGTCGGGTAAAATTAACCACTTGCATATAAAGTTGGGATCCACAATTCTAACCCAAAAGCTTAAGCTTATAGGTAGGGCTTCACCCTTCAATATATGCAAGTGATACTCATCTTTATTTTCTGATGTGGGAACTCCAACACTCCCCGCAAGTGGTAACTAGCCTGGCCTAGTTAGCACTTGGACAAACGGATCTAGCATCTCAATCTCTTATAGCTAGCCCACACAACGGGCGGTGGCATCTCAATCTCTTTTTAGTCAACTCAGCCCAAACCACACACGGGGTAGCTCATTTTTGCTAAACCCACATCCAAACAACCAGGAACAATCAAACCCGGACCGGACCTGCTCCGATACCATGTTAAAATTCCGGCGGGCCGAGAACAAAGGATAGAGTGTCGGGTAAAATTAACCACTTGCATATAAAGTCGGGATCCACAATTCTAACCCAAAAGCTTAAGCTTATAGGTAGGGCTTCACCCTTCAATATATGCAAGTGATACTCATCTTTATTTTCTGATGTGGGAACTCCAACACATTCCCCCCCCCAAAAAAAAAAACTCCAAAGAGAAATTAGAAATGCAGCTGTTTATGTATATATTGTATGCTATATGTCCAACAAAAAAAGAAAAGCTTCAAAAAATGCAGCTTTATTGAATGAGCATGTTCTGGGAATCCTTTAAACTTGTGAAAGAAACAGGGAAGACCAGAATACAATATGTAGGGGAGGAAAGTTAAAAACCCTTAACCTCTTATAAAGTGGGATTGAATATGTAATATATATAGATAGATGTTGTAGTGTTTTCTATGATGGGTGGAGAAATTTGTAGTTTGTAGGGACAAGGTATAGGGAGCAGAGGTAAAAAAAAAGGTGGTGCTGGATTGCTAGGTGTGGCTCAACAAACTGCAACAACTTGGAAAAACACACTCATGATTGTCCTTATTTTGTGCTATGCAATCATGTTTCAGCTCACAAACAGGCCCTTTACACTGCCTATCACTAGTGTAACACAATCAGAATCTTGATAATTGACTTTTCACAATTTCAAGTGTTGCTCTATCAATTCTAGCTCCTTCATATGGTCTTTAGTTTTTGAACATTTTTCTTATTTACGATCTTCGTAAGTCGAACATGTCCTAAACATATAAGCATAATGCAATCAATGATTTATTGATGAATGGATTTATCTCCAAAGTGTTCAACGATTTTGGGATTCATTAAAATGTTCTTATATTGTTAAGTTTATTAATGAAAAAATTGTGAGGCCTTTGTAATTTGAACTTTTAAATCTTGCTCTAATAAGATAGTTCAAACATATATATGGGACCTTCTACATTTTATACTGTCTCTAGGTCTCTTTGATATGACACACATATCAATCTTTTGAATGGTGTTTAAGCTTTTATCTAACCGTTTTTGTTTTTACTTCCAAAGTTTATTCAAGCCTCTGCGAAAGCGGGAAACATGGACTCTTTGTGTATTATTAGGTTGAAAATAATATGAACAAATATTACCTTGTAATAGAGTCAATAAGATTAAAAAAAATTCCATATTTGTTATCTTGGTTCATAAATAAATTACGGTACGTACTTCTCTTCTTTCTTTAAAACGAAAAAAATGTGGCCGCTAATGATTTTTAAACTCTTAAAGTCAAATAATATACTCCCTCCGTTTCTCAAAACAATTCCTCTTTTGACTTTGGGGAAAAAATAAGGAAGTGTTAAATTGTAGTTGACTTTCCAATTTTGCCCTTGATGTGATGGGTAAAAGTAAGATGTGATAGTTTAGTTGTTAGTGAAAAAGTATGATGTGATAGGTAGGGTATGAAAAAGTAGGGGTAAAAGTGGTTTTTTAATAGAAAAGGGAAGTGTTTTAAGAAAAACGAAAAAAATGAAAGAGGAAGGGTTTTTAGAAACGGAGGGAGTAATTCATTTGGTATGGAAGAGTATTTTATTTGGTTTATTCATCATTGCGGTCGCTTTTGTCTATTAGAGATGCTTCGTATTTGTTTCATGTATGTATTAATTGAATGGAAAATGCTAGGGTGGTTGCCATGGGCGGATCCAATGCTTAGCTATGGAGGACAGTTGCCCCCAGTGAACATATTTACATATTTTATAAAAAAGAAAAAAATTGGGGTTGATTTCATTGATGCCCCCAATAAAAAATTCTTGGTGCCCCCGATCAATATTCTTGGTGCCCCAATCCAAACGTTAGTAGCCGCCCAACTAGTTTCCATCTAGTTTGATATTAACGAATCAAATTAAATAAATTTTTATCATCAATTAAATTAAGTTTGTACAAGATATTGGTACATAAATAATTTTACTAGGTTTATCTTATCAAAAACTATCAGAAACGTATTTCTTTATATTAATACACTACTTCCGCTCTTGAGTATTTGTCTAGTTCGGACTTTTTGAAGTTAATCATTTTCGATCTTTGACCTCGAATTATATAGAAATTTTATGATATATTTAGATAAAGCAATATTTTAAAAATAATGTATGAAATAAATCTAACAAAATCATTTTTGTATCAATATCTAATATCAATTTTATTTAATTAATGGTCAAAGCTTGTCAATTTTAACTACAAAAAATCAAAATTAGACGTATATATAGTCATGGACCGAGGTAGTGCAATATAAACTTAATATAATTAATTTTTAACTTTCGTTCAAATTGACTTTTTTATTCAAACTAGATAAATAGTTCAAGGCGGAAGAATTAGATTGCATTAAAAAAATTTGTAGACGTGTTGCCCATAAACCCCGTCTTCCTCTTGCTGCTATTCTTCTTCAATGGTGCCCCCAGTGATATGTTGTCCTAGATCCGCCACTGGTCGTTGCATTGCTACTATACCACGAGGGCAACTAAGCTTCGCACAGATTTATAACTATTTGGGAGCACCCTAGCACTAATTGAATACATATGGTGCATCCATAAGAGCACTGGAAATACTCATGAAGCCCCGGGGCTTCAAACCGAGGCTTCAAACTTTCTCTCTCTGTCATTCCAGCTTTAACTTACCTCACAAATTCACTAGAAATGAGTTTGAAGCCCCAGGGCTTCAAACTGGAGCTTCAAACCTTTATTTTTTACATTTCGAAAAAACATCTTTTAAAACTAAATTAATAAAATTTAATTATTTAATTATTTTATCAAATTGAAACGAGAATAATTCATGAAAAAATTACATTCATTAAATTAAAAAAATGAAAACGACAAAATTCTTAACAATTATATTCAATAAAAATGAACATTTAATAAAAAAAATACATTAATAAAAAAACTAAGGTAAATTATATTTAGCCTTGATCTCTTTTTGTCTTCCCTTGAAGATAACACGTTTCAATCCCGATAACGTATCAAGGTCAGTTTCCATTATTTCAACCTCTTCCTTCTGTTTCTTTCTTCTCTCCCTCTCTTCTTCTCTAATATTGAACACCATTGCTCGACTTATATCGTCGTGAGAAGAAACGGAGTCGGACCCTCCAGAACCCGATGCAATGGATTTTGACTTCTTTCTTCCGATCGGCCGTGGAATGGGGTCCCCGTCATCAGAATCGTCTACGTTGAAGGGAGACCTTTGTTCAGACGATTCGATAGTGTCATCGACCTCAACCTCGGCATCGGCAGAGGATCTTTTCTTTGAGGATCTGGCCTCGGGATTATTGAGTTGTTTCCATTTCGGTGAACGGCTTAAAATTTTCCAAAGATCGATGGGCACTACCTAGCCTTGGTGCTCGTCGTCTTGATACCGGGACGTGGCAAGCCAGAGAACATCGGCGTTGTTCGTCCCGCTCTTCCGGGACCGAGAGCATTACTCGTAAACTCTGATAAACTTTTGGACTTTACAATTGATGTGGCCCCATTTCGAAGTGAGTTCGTCCTAGGACGGTACGAGGTGTCCTTGTTCATCGCTGCAAAGAACTTCTCCTCGATACGATCCAACATCGCATCCTTCGTTTGATCCGACCCCTTTAAAAAGTATACAATTGAATGAACTTTTTTTAACACAAATATATGAATAAGAATACAAATATGTGAAAACATATAATTTTTACCAATGATAGGTTGCTCGGAGACGTCAACCCAAGCCGACACCAAGGACTCTTCCACAAGCGTCTACTTTTGGATTGACCGTGCCTCTTTGGTCATCGGTTTGTCGCCTTTTGCTTGCTGACTCTTCTGGCGTGCACTTTTTTTTTGTTCTCGATGGTTCTGGTTGAGTCTCCGGAACCAACTCCGGGTCATTGAGGTTCACTGATGTTTGCGTTTCGAACAACGCCAGATTACACCCGTATTGTTGGAAGATCCAAATCGCGTACTCGCTTGGCTCGAGATCGTCGGGGGAAGAATCGGAGGGATTCATGTTAACAAATATTGAAGAAAGGAAAGATGTGAAGAAGATTGAATTGGAGATTCACGAAAGGAAAGATGTGAAGAAGATTGAAGATTGGATTTGATATTTATAAAAAAAATAATTAAGGAATTGTTTTTAAAGGTGTAACGGCTAAATTAGCCGTTGGGGGCGGGGGTGGGGGAGTAATTGCGTTAAACGTTTGACGCAACTCAGTGACGCCCGAATGACGCTGCAAAAGGGGCGATGTTTAACGCCGAAGAGGTGTTTAACGCCCCATTGCGCCTCTGGCATCTGCCCCATTTCCAGTGCTCTAATAAAAGTTCCCCTTATATTGAGCTTTATAGAAGTTTTATGAGGGTCTTCATTCATAAAGGTGGAACATTCATTGCGGGCACGCTCACACCTCGGCCAGAATGAATTGTGAGTAGTTAAATCATGTTATAATCTTAATTTTGTAAAGATCTTCTTCCATACTTTATATGTTGGTCATCTATTTGTGTTGATAAATATAAATGACTCATTGTGCTAGCTCTTTTGTCACACATGCAATTGTGTTATATTAGCTACTAAGAAAAAAACATTTGACAATTTTAGAGTTTGTTACGTTCTTAAACAGAAAATAAATGTCAGAAAAAATTGGGAGTTCAAAAAACTGGATGGAATTAAAAAAAACTAAAAGTTGGAAAAAATGGATGAGTTGAAAAAAAGAAGTGAGTTAGAAAAAGTAGAAGTAATTGGAAAAAGTGAAAGAAGTTGAAAAAAACTGTAAGGAATTTGAATAAATTAAAATAAATTGAAAATATGGAAGGAATTGGAAAAGATTTGAAGTTAGAATATATTAAAAAAAAAGTAGTGTTTCCATGATCTCAAGGCCTAGATGTGAAATGTTGATTTTTTTCACTTTTTTATAGACCAACATGGGGATATTTTATTTTTTATCAAATAGCTCAATTCGTCTGTGATATATATATTCTAAGGTCCATAAAATGAGTGTGGAACTTAGAACCACAAAAGAATTTTCCACTAAAAAAAGAAAGGCGTTGAATTATTATTATATTTTTCAAATTTCATATTTTTTGAGTAAATTCCATAATTGGTTCTTCATAACATGAGATTTTTCATATTAAGTCCTCTATTATCAATTATTACGCTCGTGGTCCTTCTTTTTTGGCACCTTTCCACAATTAATCCTTTTTTTGACTTTTTGTCATGCTGGTTTTAATTTATGAGAAAAAAGTGAAATTTGACATCAACCCTATGTCTAGTGACATATTTGGATCTGTATTAGACAAACAACACAACAATAATGACTATGATTGTAGATTAGAATACCGACAAAAGACCACCTTTGTTGACTGTGGTTGTAGTAGACTATAATTCACAAACGACGCATCAGAAGCGGCCTCTGAGATTGTGTATGATAATAAAGATATATGATTATTGTCAAATTACACTTTTAGCCCTCAAATTAACACCAACATGATAGAAGATCAAAAAAGGACTTTTTGTGGAAAGGTATCCAGAAAAGGACCAAGGGCGTAATTATTCATAATAGAGGACTAAATATGGAAACCCTCATCATAAAAAAGACCAATTAAGGAATTACTCTATTTTTTTATATGGTTTTTATTTTTTGTGTTTACACTATTTTGTGCTATCTAACTTATTACTATTACAACTATTTTCCACTTTCTAATAAAATATCTATCATGCATACAATTTTTGTTCATATTGAAATTTCAGGGGAGAGGGGTAAATCGATAGCCAATCTAATTTGTACATCACACAAAGCAAACAAAGAATAATAACAACCAACATGAAAGTAAGAAAATCAGGGCTAAAGGACTTCTCAGTTCGTGTCCTTTAACATTGTCTTGCTTCAGTCTCAACTTCAGTTTCATCAATTATACGGGCATTAGACTGGTCCGAGTAACCATCATTCAACATTTCATCATGTGAATGTTTGGACAAACTTGCTCGTTTCTAGATTTTAAGGGGAAAATATTTTCGAATAATGTTGCATTCCTCGATTCCATTATCGTGTTCTTGTGTATTTTCAGATTATCAGATTTATACACTAAGAATCGATAAGCGCTACCACTGTAGCCAATGAATATTCTGTCAACAGCCTTCGAACAAATCTTCATTTTCTTTGGTGGTAGTGCTAAAACTTTTGCAAGGCACCCCCACACTTTCAGATATTTATAGTAAGGTTTCCTATTATGCCACAACTTGTAAGGAATCTTATCGAGTTTCTTTCAGGGTATTTTATTTAACAAATATTTTCTAGATAAAATAGCTTTACCCCATATATTTTGGGGTAGCCTCGAACTAGGCAACTTCGCATTCATCATATATTTAAGAGTGTAATTTTTCCTTTCCACCACATTGGTCGACTGAGGTGTGTACGGAGGATTTACTTGATGCACAATTCCATATTGTGCACACAACTCGGTGTGAATGTGATACGGCCAAACAGGGGGGCGAGTTAGTGGAACGTACGGGGAGCCCAACAACACGACAGGAACTACGGCGTTCGGGCCGCGTGCCTAGACCACCGGCCCGACTTCGGGATTATGTTTGATTTTTTAATATACTTCTTTATTATTGTATTTTAGATTTTCTTTAGGTGAGCGCATTATAAGCTCCTTCGAGGGTTTCTTTTCGGTTCTTTACCTCGATGCTTTTCTTGAACCGACAGGATAAGGGTTACTTTTCATTCGCTATTTATACTCGTGTATTTGGGTTATTCACGCATGCATGAATGAAAAAGTAATTTAGTTAGTAAATTTTAGTCTTCCAAAACCCTAGCTGCCTGGTGTCTCTTTCTCTTCGGCGTCAACCGTCTTCACTGCCAGCGAAGGGAGATAACTCTCTGGGTGCTCTTAACAATTGGTGCTCTCGTTCTTCCGAACTCCGAGGATGTCTGGCGACGAATCCCCTTCCTCTCCGTCGCATGTCAATCAAGCTCTGGACGACATGCGGCTCGCGATTCAAAACCTAGCTTTGGAAATTCGTACCTCTCGGCAGGATCATCAGGCGCTTGCACAATGCGTCGATGCTCTCTTTGAACCACGCGGGTTTAACCCTCCTACGCCTCGGGGTGGGTTTCACATCCCTCCAACAGGTCCTCGGCGGCCTCCTCCAGGATTTCCGCCAGAGGGTGCACACGATGCCCTAACACCGAAAGTCCGTTTTGATGCTCCGAAGTTTAACGGCTCTGATCCCGCAGGGTGGGTGTTCAAGGTACAATCCTATTTTGATTATTTTCGGACCCCGGAAGATGTGCGTCTTCGGCTGGTGGGTCTTCTCTTTGAAAGCCCGGCGTCCGACTGGTTTCTCTATCAATATAACAACAATTGCATTACGACGTGGCCGGCTTTCCTGGAGGCTGTGAAACAACGGTTTGATCCTTCCCACTACGAGGATTATATGGGGCTTTTGTGTAAGTTACAGCAGCGCACGTCCGTGATTGACTATCAAGCTGAGTTCGAACGTCTATTAAATAAAATTACTGGAGTCCCGGAGGCCACGTTGGTCTCCATCTATGTGGCGGGTTTCCGGCGATTCGTGATTGTTTTCTTCGACGACATTCTCATTTATAGCCCTTCGGTCGAGTTACACGGGTCACATCTCCGGGTCACCTTGGACATTCTGGCCACCCACCACTTCTTTGTCAAATTGGAGAAGTGCACGTTTTGCCGCGACACGGTCCCATATTTGGGGCATATGGTCGCTAATGGTGAGTTACGGGCTGATCCATCCAAGCTGGAAGCTATGGCGCAGTGGCCAGTTCCTAGGACCGTCAAGAGCTTACGCGGGTTTTTGGGGTTAACGGGGTACTACAGGCGATTCATCCGTTCATATGCTATGATCACAGCCCCATTAACCTCTTTGTTACAGAAAAACAGCTTTGTGTGGACGCCCGACGCAGATAAGGCATTCCAAAATCTTAAGGCCGTCATGATTTCTCCTCCCGTATTGCGCTTGCCCGATTTTCACGAGGTTTTTGTCCTCGAAACAGATGCATCCAGTGAGGGGGTAGGTGCGGTCCTCAGGCAACAGGGCCATCCAATTACCTTTTATAGCAAGAAGTTGGGTCCTCGTCGACGTTTAACATCGACATACCATAAAGAATTATATGCTATCGTGGAGGCGGTGCATAAATGGCGCCAATATTTGCTTGGCCGGGAGTTCGTCATTCGCACCGATCAGAAGAGTCTTAAAGAGTTATTATTTCAGATAGTTCAAACACCGGAGCAACAATTTTATATTCGCAAGCTTATGGGTTTCAAATTCCGCATTGAATACAAACGAGGTGCCACGAACCGAGCCGCGGACGCATTGTCACGTAGGGACAACGATGAGGATCCTGCTGTCTTATTCCAGCACTATGCTCAGCCGCTGCCCACTATTCTCCACCAGATTCGCGCAGAGAATGCCACAGACCCTGACCTCGTTGAATTACATGCGGCTGCATCCACGGGAACTCTGCCGGCGCCTTATATTATTCATGATGGGGTCCTTTACTACCACCATCGCATCTGCCTTAGGAAGAATTCAGCTCTTAAATCCCCTATCTTGACGGAGTTTCATGCCTCACCGAGCGCGGGACACCCGGGGGTTGAGCGCACGTTTCGTAGGGTGGCGGGGGTTTTCTTCTGGCCGCATATGCGCAGGGATGTTCGGGCATTTGTGGAGGCCTGCTCAACGTGTCAAGCCACCAAATACCTCACACAACGGCCCGCGGGTCTGCTCCGACCGTTACCGGTCCCCGCCCGGGTGGGGGAAGACGTCACCATGGATTTCATTGTCGCGTTACCAGTTTCCAGAGGTTGCACTGCCATTATGGTAGTGGTGGATCGGTTAACTAAGTATTCCCATTTCGGCGCGCTTCCAACCTCTTTTGATGCTCCGAAAGTGGCCGCTTTATTTGTGGATGTCATCATCAAGCATCACGGATTCCCCCAGTCTATTGTGTCCGACTGGGACCCTATCTTCATGAGCCACTTCTGGGATTCCTTGTTCACCTTAAGTGGTACCACCCTCAAGCGTAGCACTGCCTATCATCCGCAAACTGACGGCCAATCAGAGGTACGCAATCGGGGACTGGAACAATATTTGCGGGCTTTTTGTCATTACCGGCCAACACGATGGGTTTTCTTCTTACCTTGGGCGGAGTTAGCCCTCAATGCTACGTACCATGAAGGCATCAAGATGACGGCTTTCCGGGCACTTTATGGTCATGAACCCCCGAGTTTAGTGCCGTACACGGTGGGAACGAGCAAAGTGCAGGCGGTGGACTCTTATTTGCAAGAAAGGGGGGAGATCCTACGCCACCTCAAGCACAATTTGAGAAGCATGCAGCAACAGATGGCTGCCAGCGCTAATCGACATCGCCGTCATGTGGAATTTCAAGTCGGTGATCTGGTGCTTCTCCGGTTACAACCGCACCGGCAGTTTTCGGTGGCCAAACATCGGTCGGCCAAGTTGGCCAGGCTATATTATGGGCCATTCCCCGTGGTCGAGCGAGTCGGGCAGGTGGCGTACAAATTACAGCTTCCGGACGGTTCAAAAATCCACAACGTCTTCCATGTCTCTCTATTACGGCCATACATCTCGGACAGCTCCACCCCACCGATCTCTACGCTGCCATCCGAGTTTCACGAAGGGGCGCCTCTGTCAGTCCCTCAACGAGCAGTAGATACACGCAAGGTCTTGGTCCAGGGTGCCTTACAGGAGCAATGGCTCGTCGTCTGGTCCGATGGTAGTCTCGTCGACGCCACGTGGGAACCCGTTGACTATTTGAAAACCAAGTATCCGGATTTGGTCCTTGAGGACAAGGACGCTTTGGTCGGCGAGGCAGATGATACGCCCCAACAGGGGGCGAGTTAGTGGAACGTACGGGGAGCCCAACAACACGACAGGAACTACGGCGTTCGGGCCGCGTGCCTAGACCACCGGCCCGACTTCGGGATTATGTTTGATTTTTTAATATACTTCTTTATTATTGTATTTTAGATTTTCTTTAGGTGAGCGAATTATAAGCTCCTTCGAGAGTTTCTTTTCGGTTCTTTACCTCGATACTTTTCTTGAACCGACAGGATTAGGGTTACTTTTCATTCGCTATTTATACTCGTGTATTTGGGTTATTCACGCATGCATGAATGAAAAAGTAATTTAGTTAGTAAATTTTAGTCTTCCAAAACCCTAGCTGCCTGGTGTCTCTTTCTCTTCGGCGTCAACCGTCTTCACTGCCGGCGAAGGGAGATAACTCTCTGGGTCCTCTTAACAGAATGGAGCCTCGTACTCCCGGCCCCTATCACTACTAATCGCTTTAATTTTACGTTTGAGTTTATTCTCAACTTTATTCTTGTACTGAATAAAAGTATTCAACGCTTTGTCTTTACTTTTAAGTAAATAAATATAGCAATATTTCGTGTTATTATCTACAAAAGTGATAACATATTTGTTACCAGCTCTTGAAGGCGTTGCTTTAAAATCACACAGATCCGTGTGAATCAAATCTAGTGGCAGAGTGATCCGTTCAATCGCTTCAAACGAATTTCGTATTGACTTTGCTTCGACACACGTCTCACACTTCATAATCATTAGCTTAATAATCATTAGCTTAATTCTAAATGAACATTTATACTGCCAGTACAATATAGGTTCTCAGTCGGACCTCTTCTGTCTTCTCAATAATTCAGTTAACAAAGTGCAAGTTAGTGGAGGTGTCTCAGACGGATTTCTATTCTCAAAGGAATCTCTCACGCCTCTACGCCTCACCTTAACTCTTCTCCTGTTCACCAGTCTTCTAGAGAGAGATCATTATCTTCCGTTTTCTCTCCTCCTGGGACCGCCGAAATAGAATCACCGCCATGTTTTCCGGCGAATTTCCCGAGGCGGATGACGAAAATCCGAACTCAAAGGAGCTCTCATGTGCTCATCAGTCTTGCGCGGCGGCGGAGAGGGAGCCTCCGACAATGACGATCGATCTCGATCTCGAGGCTTCATGGACTTTCGAGCAGATCATCCCGGGTTCCACTTTGAATCCGTACTCTTCCTTTGTTTTCCCCGGCTCCAGTCAGCCTTGCTCCCCTCTTTGGACGTTTCCGGAGGAGAGTCCTTGTAAGTATTCCTCGCTGCTTAATCTCTCTGGGTCTGAGCTCTTTTTTTAAATAAAAAGTCGGTAGACATTAGTAAATGAGCTAATTCGCGGATGACTTTAACTTATCTACAATGTTTTACGATGATTTGGAGAATTTACTAGGATCTCTCACAATGCTAAATCATCCCATTACAATCATTTGAAAATTAGCTAATTTTTGAATGCCTTAAACTCATGAGGTTTTATTATGTTTTTAGACAATCTGATAGAATTTTGTTGAGAATGCGTATGTCACATAGCTAGATCATACCTTCCTAATCATTATATATATGACTGCTTTGTGGATTCTTGTTAGCGGAAGGTAGGTACAAAATGGTGAGTCACAGTGTTGTTAGTGTAGTGTTTAGTTGTTATCTTCTTCAGCTTGTTTTTATTTTATTTCAAAAAGTTAGACAATATGTGCACAGTTGGGCCTTGGGCATGAGGGAACATAAAGAGTTGATATTTAATTAATTGTTTCTCACTACTGTTTTCAAAAAAATTGTTTCTTACTACTGTGATTTTCCATCTTGATTGCAGATAGGATTGCGTGATATGCAATATCTGATTCTTTGTCGATAGTTGCAATCTATAGAAAATTTCAACTTCTTCATAAATAGAGAGAGGATATTTATTTTTCTTTGAATATTTGCCAAGATGCAGGGGATCCAGATTATTTTGTTGAAGGCGTGCCTGGACAAGATGAGGTATCATTTCTAGGGTTTACTCCAAAAGATGATCTAGATGGATCTTGTGTAATCAAGGAGAGGTTGACTCAAGCTCTGAGATACTTTAAAGAATCAACCAGAGAACGTGTCCTGGCCCAGATCTGGGCACCAGTGAAGAGCTGTGGGCGGTATTTCCTCACAACTTCTGGACAGCCATTTGTGCTTGATCCAAACAGTAATGGGCTTCATCAGTATAGAATGGTCTCTCTAATGTACATGTTTTCTGTAGATGGAGAGAATGATGGATTCCTTGGGATTCCAGGTCGTGTTTTTCGGAAAAGTTTGCCGGAATGGTCACCAAATGTGCAGTATTATTCTAGCAAAGAGTTCCCACGTCTCAATCATGCTCTCATTTACAATGTCCGAGGAACTCTAGCGTTGCCAGTATTTGATTCTACTGGGCTGTCGTGCATTGGTGTTGTTGAACTCATAATGACATCCGAGAAAGTCAACTATGCTCCTGAGGTTGATAAAGTGTGCAAGGCTCTTGAGGTTTGTTCTATAGTCACTCTTGACTAAATCTAGGCCCTATTATTTTGAGTTGGAATTTCAGAGTTGGATGTTTGAAGAAACTAGGAGTTGGAAGAAACTAGAAAGAGTTGGAAGAAAGTGGAAGGAGTTGAAAAATGTTGGAAGAATTAAAGTGTTAAAAAGTCACTCAATTAAATGATCACCCAATTAAATATTTTAGAAAACTCTAATTTTGGATAAAAATAGAATTCATCCTTGTTATGTTTGAAATGATACGTTAGAGATTTGATATATAATGGTATTCTATATTAATCAGATATAGATACCTTTTCTAAGTCGTTGTTGGAAGAAACTGGAAGGAGTTTGGAAGAAGTTGGAAGTTAATTTTTTCAACCCAAAAGAACAGGGCCTTAATATGTGAATGGACCTTCTTATAAATATTGAACAAGTTACTTAATAACTATGATTTTAAAGTAAAAATGCATACCAGATAAGATATTGGTCAGAATGCATTTTTACTTTAACATTTGGCAGCTTTCATTGCATTACTAGAATACTAGGTTTTTATGCTCTTTGATGCCTAATCGTAACCATTTCTGCAAGATTACTACATAACTACGAAGTATGATTTTCCTGCAGGCTGTGAACTTGAGAAGTTCTGAGATCTTGGATCATCCAAGCGCACAGGTGAGAATAAAGCTAAGCTTATATGGAAGCACTTGTAAAAACATTTTTTCTGAGCGAATGTATGTGGCCCCCGAATGTACCAGATCTGCAATGAAGGACGCAAAAATGCATTAGTAGAGATTTTGGAGATTTTGACAGTGGTGTGTGAAACTTACAAACTACCATTGGCTCAGACTTGGATACCATGCAGTCACCGCAGTGTCCTAGCCAGTGATGGTGGGTTAAAAAAGAGCTGCAGTAGTAGCTTTGATGGAAGCTGCATGGGAAGGGTCTGTATGTCCACAACAGATGTAGCATTTTATGTGGTTGACGCTCACATGTGGGGATTCCGTGAGGCTTGTGCTGAGCATCACTTGCAAAAGGGACAAGGAGTTGCCGGGTGGGCTTTTGCTTCTCAGTGCTCATGTTTCTGTGATGATATCACACGGTTTTGCAAAACTGAATACCCTTTGGTGCACTATGCACGAATGTTTGGTTTGGTTAGCTGTTTTGCGATCTTCCTGCAAAGCACTCATACTGGCAATGATAATTATATTCTTGAATTTTTCTTCCCTCCAAATGGTGGTGACTACAGTGACGCGCAAGCTCTGTTAAACTCTCTCTTAATGACATTGAAGAACCACTTGAAGAGTCTTCGCGTTGCTTCTGGAAACTTACTTGAGCATGGGTTGGGATCTGTTAAAACTATTAAGTGTTCTGAGATAAAGGAATCAGTTTTTATGTCCAATTCACCTTCGTCTCCCCAGCCTGCTGTCTTACCAAGCACACAGGTTTGCTGTAATGCATTCGAATGCAAGCAACCTGCTCCAGGAAAGAGTACTTCAGATGGAAGGACTGTAACCGAGTCTCCGGAACCCCAACATTATGAATCCATTGATGAGGATGTTGAGGCGGTTAAGAAGGAGAAAAAACGTGGTAAGGCAGAAATAACAATTAGCTTAGAAGTTTTGCAACAACATTTTTCAGGGAGTCTCAAAGATGCTGCAATGAGTCTTGGCGGTATGCCGTATGCCCATAATTTTCAATATATGTTTGTCATCATTCTTAATTGGTGTGCATTGTTTTATTTGTGATACTATAATTGATTACATATAACAAACATCTCAACTCTTCACTATCTCATGATGCTTTTCATGTTAGTACTTAGTAGAAAGAACCTATGATTATGCTAGTTTGAAGTTTCATCTCAGTATTCCATCTTGTCCATTGCCAATGGAGCTAAAGAGGCATAAATGGCAATGTTTTATCTTTGGGTAAATAATGGACTAAATCAAAATGGCAAATTAAACTTTATTTGCTTCTTACATTCAATGAAATTTTGGGTAGTAAATGCACCATTGCATCAAGGGTCTAACCGAAAAAGTCTCTATATTTTACAGGGGTAAGACTACTTACATATTGACCTCTCAGAAGCCAGACCCTAACAAAGTTAGAATTATATTGGGTTGTGTTCTTTCATGGAAAGGTTACTATAGGAAGAGCATCCAACCGAAAAGTTTTCCACTAATAAGGTTATCAAGATCTAATTAAATATTGATCATTGGATAAGATCTAGATCGTGACAACAAAATATCACAGGATCTCAAATAAGATGTATAATTTGATCGAGATCGCTGCAAGAACGTAGGATCATTTGCAAGATTTGATCTTATATCCTTCTCAAGATGTTGATATGTGAATGCTAATTTGAACTCTCCAGGAAGGAGACAATAGGTGTCTTACATATGATCTTTCTGTTTACAGTTTGCCCTACAACAATGATTAGCATTTGCAGGCAACATGGGATATCTCGTTGGCCATCTCGCAAGATAAATAAGGTCAACCGTTCACTGTCAAAGCTCAAACGAGTAATTGAATCTGTGCAAGGAGCTAATGGAGCATTTACATTGAGTACAGCTATAGCGCCAAATTTGACTCCTATCGGTGAAGGACTGATTTCGTCGCCACCTACTGATGTTAAGTACAATAACCTCCCCACCCTGCTTATCATCCGAATCTCCTGAAGAGAATAGTGAGTTCTTCTTCAGCCATGGAGCTCCCGAAAGACATGTTGTAGGACATGTTTTGGGGATTGATGAACTTGCATATCAACAAAATGGTGTTGAAATAGCTCAAGGGGGGAAATTGTCACGAACAACAAGTGGCTCGAGAGAAGAGAGCCGAGGAACCCCCCCTACTTCCCTTCGCTGCATAAATCAACTCGCTGAATCTACCATGGATGACATTACTAAACCTAGTGAGAGAGTGCCGTTGCATCTTTCCACTGCAGAGCTGACAACTTTTGTAACAATAAAAGCTGCATATGTTCGGGCATTGTAAAATTACAGGAGGAAGTGGCGAAGAGATTGGCGTTGGAGCTGGGCACCTATGAATTCAAGTACCTAGATGATGATCACGAGTGGGTTTTGATTGCCTGTGATGCCGACTTGCAGGAGTGCATTGACATTTCAAGATCATGTCGTAGAAACATAATCAGACTGCTGATTAATGACATCAATCCCAATCTCGGAAGCTCGTGTGAAGGTTCAGGTGATTATTGAATTGACATATACTCCGTAGTAGTTACCTACACTGGTATATTGCTTGTATAACCAAATATTGCAAGTTATAGCTTTAAGATTTAGGCAAGATAAATTGTGAGAAATTGCAATTGTATTATTGTTCTCTACGACAATATAGCTTTCCTAGTTTTCTTTCCCTCTTACGAGTAGTTTTTTCTCTTGCTGTCTTCAGTTGTAAGAAAACTATGTTGGTCATCTTATTAATTGGTTGGTTAACAACGTTTGTGATTAGTATTAGAGTTCTGTATAATATTTTATGATACTAATTCTGAGTAATGCTATAATTGGATTGTTTTTTTCAAATGCTACATATATTTTTCTAAAATGTTGAATGATATCATTAAAATACTCCCTCCGTCCCACTATATTTGTCCACTTTCATTTTTGCACATCATCCAATACACTTCTTTAATCCATTTTATCTTGTAATTTGTATATTAAAAAATTATAGAAATTATATATTAATAATATATATGTTAAGACAAATCAAACAAGATCACACATGACTATATTTAGGCTTACACATTGAGAGAATTTGATGAGTCAAAGTGCTTAGATAAACAGTTCCAAAAGTCAAAAGTGGACGAATATAGCGGGACGGAGGTAGTATTGGATAGAAGTTGTGTTATTGTGGTTCTAAGGCTCGCATGAGAAATGTAGATTTTTTCACATTTTCCATGAGCTCATAATTGAATCTCTCTTTTTTACAAAGCTCTATACATAATTTCATTTTATACATAAAGATTTATAAAATGAGTATGGACATGATGAGCACCAAAACAATTGTTGTTGAGGTATACACTATAGATCATTTTTCCCTAAAGAACCTGCAATTTCCTAATCAACCTGTTCATGTTTTCCTTAGAGCACTTGGAAATACTCTTGAAGCCCATGGGCTTCAAACCAGGGCTTCAAAATTTTTCTCTCTGCCACGTCAGCTTTAACTTACTTCACAGATTCAGTGGAAATGAGTTTGAAGCCCCCCGGGCTTCAAATCTCATTTTTTACATTTTTAAATATACATCTTCTAAACTTAATTTAATAAATTTTAATTAATTTATTATTTAAATTAATTGAAATGAGACTAGTGCAGTAAAAAAATTACATTCATTAAAAAAATATTACATTCATAAAAAAATACATTCATAAAAAAAATTACATTCATAAAAAATACATTCATTAAAAACATATTACATAAAAAAAACACTACAAAGAAATTACTAATTATTCGAGCGACTAAAGATATGTTCGATCAAATCCGCCGTTAGTGCATTGTGAATCTCTCGAGTTCGAATTTCTTGGCAATTTCTTCGTTTCTTTTCTTCGTTGATTTCTTTGTACATAGGCACCTCATCGTCCGGGTTGTATTGACAAATCGCAGTCTCGTTGTCCTCTATGATCATATTATGAAGAATAATACATGCATACATGATATTCCTCATTTTCGTTTGAGAATAACATTTTGACGGTCGGTCTAGAATGTGCCATTTACCCTTCAAGACCCCAAAGGCTCGTTCAATATCTTTTCTCGCCGCCTCTTGAGCTTTTTTGTAGGTCTGGCGTTTAAGACCCATTGGTTCGGAGAGAGATTTGACAATCGTGGAATAATCTGGATATATTCCATCGACCAAATAATATCCACGCTTGTAAAGCGTCCCTCTAAGCTCAAAAGATGAGTCGGGTGCGGTCTCATTAATCCAATCGTTAAAAATAGGCGATTGATCGAGAACGTTGATGTCGTTGTTCGAGCCCGCGACACCGAAAAAAGCGTGCCAAATCCACAAGTCATTTGAAGCAACAGCTTCGAGCATGATAGTAGGCTTGGGATGATCTCCCCGGGAGAATTGACCGTGCCATGCAGTGGGAGAATTTTTCCATTCCCAATGCGTGCAATCAATACTCTCAAGCATGCCGACTAAGCCGTGTTTAGCGGCATGCCTTGCCTGTAATTGCTGAATGTCGCTCGCTGTAGGCTTGCGTAAATATCTTTTTTGATAAATTTGAATAATAGCTTTAGAAAATTTATAAACACAGGACCTGATGCTCCGAGCCGACATCTTCAAGTATTCGTCGAACATATCAAATGTCGTCCCGTACGCCATCTGACGGAGCGCGGCAGTGCACTTCTGGACACTACAAAAGCCACGTCGGCCTCTCGCATCAAATCGTTGGGTGAACCAAGGAACCTCGCGTTCAACATCAGCGAGTATGCGTAAAAAGAGAGGACGACTCATCCGAAAACGATTACTAAAATCCTCCGGGGTATAAACACACGGAGTATTAAAGTAGTCGTTTAGAAGTGAAGCGTGGGCGGCCGCTCGATCCCATTTTAAACGTTGTCGTCGGGTCCGTCGTCGGGAGGATTCGGCTTCTTCTTCTTCGCCATCTTCTTCTTCGCCATCTTCCCACCATTGAATACAACTTGTGGCCAAACAACGAAAAATGAGAGCTCTTTTATCATCGTCAGATGAAGATGAACTCATTTTGAAAATATATTTTATAAATATTTATAATAAATAGTATATATTTTAGAGAGAAGATAGTGAGATGTGTGAGAGAAATGTGTGAGAGAATGATTTTTAGGGGAATTTATAGGTTTTTTTTTAAATTTTGAATTTTTTTTATTGGG